CCATGGTTCCTCCCTCCCCCGACGCGCCCCCCGACCAGGCGGGCAAGGGCTCCGGCCGGGCGCCCCGGCTCGACGGGCCGAGATGGGAGAACCGGCGAGGGTGGCGGGCCGGCGGCGCTGGGCGGCGGGAGCGGCGCTCGCCTTGCTCTCAGCGTCGGGGGGCTGCGCCGCGGCCCCGCATCCCCCGCCCCGGCGCCTCCGCCCCCGCCCTGCGCCCCGGCTCCACTGGTCTGGCGGCTGCGCTTCGGGAGGGGCTGCGAGAGACCTGGACCTGCGCGCCCGAGAACTTTTTTCCTTCACGCCCTTGACGGATGCCGGACAGCTAGTTGCCTTTCCCCTCCCCCTTTCTCTCTTATTTCCTCTTCTTGTTCCTTCCTTCCTCCCTTTCTTTTCCCCGGCGGCGGCTGCGCCCGACTGAGACAGAAACTAGCCTCAGACGCCAAAACTAAAGTTGAGAGAACCGCCCGCCCGAGCCGCTCGCGGCTCCGCCTCCTCCCGGCTCTTCCTTCCTCTGCGCGCCCGCCCGCACAGGATCCGCGGCCGGCCGCGGAGGGAAACTTTCCCCTGCAAGTTAACTACATTCCTAAAGACTCCAGGCCTCCAACGCCCCTCCCGGCCGCACGTGACCAGCCCGCCAGCGGGCCGGGCCTCCACAGTGCTTCATGGGGCTAGGGCCTGGGGGCAGCCGCGGTGGGGAGCGTGCCTGGCGATCCGCGCCGGGAGGGCGGCCGGCCCGACGACCAACGTTGGGTCTGGTCTGGGTCGGAGCTCTGATCTCTGCGGCGAACGCGGCCGCCCTTGGCCGCAGGAAGTCCTCCCTCCCAGCCCGGCCCCTTCCCCGCCAGTTCTCGGGAAAGGCTGAAAGGCTTCCAGCTCGCCCCGAGATGAGAAACAGCCAAGGCCGAAAGAAGTTGGGAGGGGACGTATAAATCCACTTAAACCCTCCCCGCGTTAGCCCGACTTGACCAACTGGAGTGTCAGTGTGGGCTCAAATCCTCAAACTAGGTTGGATTTAAAATGATACCCGTAACAGACATTGATTTTAATAAGGGTCCATTTTTTCTTCATTAATTTGATTTTTTTCCACTCAGTATTCAAAACCCACTTGAAAGGGATAAACGATTTCTGTAATTTGAAGCTTTAAGACTAGATCTGTGACTCAGTGTGATTTACTAAATAACCAAAAATTGCCTTTTTTAAAAGTGAAAACTTTTTTAGTGCTCAGACTTGAAACATAGTCTTGAAAACCTCAACGGAAAAACTCAGTGTTTAACTTCGGTTACAAGCATTCCTCGGTGTACCTGTCTTTCATCCTTGAGGGGATGGGAGCCTACCTCTCTTTGTTATCCCTGTGCCTGGCACAAGGGTGGATTCTCTGAAAGTTGACCGAATAAGAAATGAACGGGTGAGGAGCTCACCCCAGGCACCTGGTTCTCTTTGTGGCAGTGTCATATATGCAAGGAGTTCAGTTGAAATCACTCAAAAGCAATGAAAATTTGTTGGGTTTTTTGTTTTGTTTTGTTTTTTTTGTTTGATGGCGCCTCTTGCGAACCCGTGCCCCCTGCAGTGGAAGCACGGAGTCCTAACCACTGGACCGCCAGGGAATTCCCCAAAATTGTTTTTTAATTCATACATTCTGATTTTTTAAAAAGCAGCTTTACTGAGATATAATTCCATACCATACAATGCAGCCATTCACGCAATCCAGTATTTTTCGTATATTAAGAGGGTTATGCAACATCACTCTGATTTTAAATCCATTAGTTCATTCTAAAGAAAACTAGTTTCCAGTTTTAATGATTTTGTCTGCAATGCTAGTGAAACAGATGTGTAAACAGGATTAAACAAGGAAAGGTCCCCTGAGCAAAAAAATAAACTCTTCCTCCAGCCAGGACATGCCCTGGATAAATCTGAAGAGGGGTCTGTGTCACTCGGTGTGGTGGGGCAGGCCAGGGGAAGAGCCTCAAGATTTTACGACAAGATTCTAATCAACTGCTCTGGATTACACTTTCATCTGAAGAAAGGGATCTGCCTCCATGATGCCCATGACTGCTTTTTATATGTATCCCCACCCCCATCTCCAAATGTCAAGTGCATTTAACCACAAATTTATAGGTTCTGGAGTTCCAGAGATCTGAGTTCAGATCCCAGTTCCACAATTTACTAGGTCTGTGACATCAGACAAGTTACTTATTTCCTATTCTTTAATTTCTTTAATATTGGGGTCAGGTAATGACACCTACCTCATATGTTGAGACCAATGAGTCAATGGACATAAAGCAAGTACTTAGCGCAGTTTTGGGTGTGTGGTGAGATCTGCATAAACGTCAGCTATCGTTGTTTTGCCGTGTTCACAGTTTACTTCACAAGTAGTGACATGGCCTCTCCTTTGCAGCAGTCCCCCTCAGGGACCCTGTTGGCAGTCCCTTCCTGTCACATCTAATAATCAATCCACACAAACAAAGCCTTTGGGCAGAAACTATGCATTAAAATTTCCAACTGAAAAATAAAATTTTTTTAAGAACCAAAGTTATTGAAAACCTGGGGTTGTAATGGAAGCTGTCCCTTCACTAGAGTATTTATTATCATGAACACTATAATTAAAGGGCTTAGGGTACAGCAGAGGTTGCTTTGTTCAATATTGTTTCACCTGCCATTCAACTGAGAACAAAATTACTTTGATAAGTGGATTTAAAGGCTGTCTGGAGTGATGTTATGTTCTGTAAGCACCTCTGTAGCATCAACCAAGATTTTGTAATTGAATATTCCTGATCTACAAAATTTCAGTCACAGGTTAGTAAGGGATAAAGTTAACATAGATTCAATCCTTCGTCCCCTCTCTTCCTCTCCAGCCCCACTTTTAGAGCAATTATCAATCCAAGGCACCTTGAGGTACGGAGTTGCCTTCTTCATACAAAGACCCAGGTTATCCTGGATCATTTTCAAGTCCATGTAGATCACTATCTGAAAACACTAGTCTTACAATGACTTGCCTTCTCAACTACAATGGACCCTCTTCTCCACTTTATCTGTCCACACCCCACCATCATCCAGAAATACTCCAGTTGTGAAATCAAACTTTGTTATACTATTCCCTTAATTACTCACGCCTCATTTATTATTAACTTCTCTCTCTTCTACGAACCTATCACTCCTGTTTTCACTTCTTTCCCAATTCAGTTTAGAAATCATAACTCATTGCTTCAGCCTCTCACAATCATCTGTGCCCTCAATTCTATTGCCCCATGTATTTGAATGAACTGGATCTATTAAACTGGATTAAGCCAGTCATCTGTCTTTTCCATTCTAACACCTAAGGCTTATGGGGGCCTGGATCCCACATTCATTAAAAGCTTCAATCAAAACTTTTGACAGTTTGTCCAAATGAAGTTATACTATCATCCCACAGATATACCTACATGATTACAAGAAAGCATTCACTGTAGAACTTTAAACTTTGTCCTGTTACCAAATGACACTGTCTGCACTGCATTATAAATTAATATTTTAAGTCAATTCTGTAATTAATGAATAGCACAATTATATTGCACTGTAATGATTGTGTGTTAAAGTTATTAATTTGCTAAGTGTAAGCATTTGAAACATACTCTGATTTTGTAACCCACTCCTGGCATCCCAGCATGCTTGAATATACTGGGGGCTTGAAAAGAGGAAGTATCCAGCCCTCTCCCACTCCCAGCCTCTGGAAAGCCTAGCTGACACCCTGGTTCCTGGGGACAAATGGAGGTAATCTCATAGGCTAGTAGCCCCTCCATATTTATAGTCTCTAACCATGTTTCCTTGTGTCCAGAGTCAGCTTCTCACACATATGATATTCTAAACTTTACCACTCTTGTCATCATGTTTATTCATCATCCCACTGCCCTTCAGAAAATCACATCACTTCCAATTGCAGAGAGAAATGGAGGCCACAATACACAAAAGCCCTAGAAGTCTTCCCCTGAACCTTCAGAAACATGTATATGACTTCACAAGCCCTTCCCTCCACAGGTACATCTTTGGAAAGAGCAGTCCACATGCCTATTCTTCACTTCTTCACCTTTTGTTCATTTACCCTTTGACCCAACATACCTAAAACTGAAATCTTTACCACTACGCTCCTCCACCTTCTACCACACACACCTTTCCAAGCCACATCCTCTTTCTGCTTTACCATCTCAGTTAATGGCGTCAGGATCCACCCACTTGTTCAAGCCAGAAAATTGAGTGTCCTCTTAATCACCACCCTCTCACCATCACTTACATCCAACCAGTTGATAACGTGTTAATTTCCTTTCACATCTTTGAAAGTCTGCTGCCCAACTCCAGGTCTATTCCACTTTGACTTCACTTCCCATCACTTTCTGCAGAGCTTCCCAAATCATGTCCCTGCTTCTAGTTTTACA